TCACACACACACACCTCACACACCAGTGGTAGCAGAGCTGCCATGCAAGGCACTAACTTGCCATGCGGAGTATGTCGCGTGGCGGGAACGCCAACCCTACGATAAGTGGACAACCCACTCTACCACCTGCGCCACAGTCGCCCACAGAGGAACTGTGTGAAAAATACTACAGAAACCAAAAAAAACCCAAAAAAAAAAAAAAAAAACAACCCCTTAATATTAATAAAAACAAAAAAAAAAACCCCCCAATAAAACACAACACATTACCAGTAGAGACCCACAGGGACCATTACAGTTTCCATTAAAAGTAACAATTCCCATTATAACCATTAGCTCCCCCCCCCCCCCAGCAGGGTAAAATGTATAAAATAGCATTCAATTGCTTTTACAACTTTTACACACTTTACAAACTAAAGAATTATAGTCATTTACTGCTGTGTCATCATACAGTATATACAGAATAAATCTTCATTTTTCCATACGCTTATTTTATTTTATTTTGAATTCAGTTGATATGGGATTACTGAAGGAATGTAGCAAAACCAGTGGGTAATATCATGGTTCTGTGTTATGTACTGTAAAGGTTTTCAGCTTGGCTTGAATAGCTTTGGAAAGTGGGTAAACAAACAAGGAGCTTCGTTTAAGCGCTAGAGACCGTACAGCGCATGCGCAATATCCTTTCTGAGCGCGCGACGCATCCGAAGGCTGCGCATGCGCAATGTCCCTCCTTCTGAATGTCCCTCTACTTCCGTGGGCTGTACGAAACATCTGCATCATCCAAAGCATCATCTTTACCAAGTGAATACTAAGTGCGGATCTAGTAGATTAATGGCGTAAAGTCGGCACTTCAAACTGTGCAACAGTTCCACAGGTAGCAGTTTCCATACCTGTCCAAGAGGAACGTTGCCAATTCGGCGTCTAACTTCATCCTCTTCTTCAGTAATAATTCTCGCCATCTTGGGAAAGCGCTTCCAATGTTGATTCTTGTTTTACTGCGCTTCTGGTCGTGGAGTCGTTTGGAAGCACAGCGTGGTTTTTTACCTTCAGTGCAAGAATCTCCCAGCGTTGGACCCTTCGTGGGTTCCGCCATGTTTTCCTTTCCTTTTGAGATGTGAAGCCCAGTCTCCTCAGTCACTGGTTTCAAAATAAAAGTGTTTGATGCTGCGTGGCCTCCGTCTAATGGACTGCAGTGTGCAAGCAGAGTCCAGTTCAGCTCAATAAAGTTTATCAGTTCAGCTCACTACAGAAACCCTAAGATGTCATACATTAATATTTTTCTTTCCTTCTGTTCTTGTGATTTCAACTTAATTTTGTTGCGATATCGATGTAACAAAATTGTTTTCTCGTGATCACCAGGATTTCTCAGTGTACTCAACATAACATCATTTTGTCTTAATTGTTCTGGAGTTAACAAAAGCTTAGCACAATTCTACAGGATCATGGATGAACAAATTCATTTTTAGTTTGAAATAGTGCCGAAATGTCTGAAAACGATCAATGACTTCCACGTTGGTGTCCGACGCTTGAGAAGGAGGCTGTCAGGTCTACAACGAGATCAAGTCCATCTATGCAGCAGGAAATTATTACATTTAGGAAGGCCATGGAAACACTAGTCCCATACACAAGGCGTGAGATTTTCCTGTGACACAATTACGTGTTTTCATGAGGAAACGATTTTTATGATGTTGAGATCACAAGAAAATTTAAAAGTTGTGATCGTGAGAAAAAAAAAAAATAATGCATGGCCTCTTAGGGCTTGCATAACTCACTAAATTAAACTGGCATCTGTACCCAGGCACCAGGCCACACACACACCATTGTGGGCATTCTGTCAAGACTGGCTGAAAAGCATTACATGTTTACTTACATGTTTAGTCATTTGGGACACATTTTCCCTTGGATTACATCAAGTCCATGCCCCTGGACTCATGTTCATATCATGCAATTTGCACTGTTGTCATACTATCCTAGATAGCATCTGGATGTGGTCCACTTTAGGCAGCGATGTGACACTGCTGGCCTTCTTTGGCCCGGACAAAATGTATATGAGCCTGAAGTGATCCACATGTAAAATAGCAATTATAACCCAAATATCCCAGAAAATAAAGTGGGCCTTTTTAGGCAAAGATGCTGTTCTCACAGCAATGTGTAATCTGTGTGTGACCCTAAAGTGGCACATGTGGCAAATAGTGAGTATTGCCCAAATATCACAAAACAAATGTGGGCCACCTTTGGCAAAAATGTGGCACATGCGGCATTGCTATGGCTTGCTTATGGCCCAAAACTGGCAAACAGGAGCGAACTTCAATTTTTATATACGACTATCCCTGCGCTCATACTCCCTGGCAGCCATTTTGAAACATGTGTGAAAACAGTGGTCAGAAGTGAGGTCACACTCATATTTAAGGTATTTTAACCTTAAATTTGTGATACATGTCACTACGATTAAATCACAAAAATTAAATGGTAAAGACCTGTAAAATGCAAAACCTTAGAGACATAGCAAGAGTGCTAAAGTGGTAATTAGCACACTAGTCATATTAAATAGATTTGTGCATTACCGATATATCAGGTGATATTGGCTATTATTTAATACATTTAATTAGTAAGTTAATGTATGTAACTGATAGTGAGTAGTTGTAGTTTGCTGTAACAAGTTGTAATTGTAAAATGAGCTTAAAGGGTACAGTACTGTAAAAGTCAGAATAATGAGTGAGACTAAGAGAATGAATAATATGTAATACAATATCTGTACTATTTGTTCACATAAATGCAACTTATAAACTTGAGGTATAACCAATACAACTACTGCTGATCCAACTAAGCTCATCGAGTACCCATAAAGCCATTCAGTTGGACAGGATGTGTATTACTTATACTTAAAGCGGCAGTATGGAACATTTTCCTCTCTATCGCCATCTCTGTTTGAAACATAACACTGGAAGTTATTTGCAGAGATATTATTTTACATGGTTTGTGCTTCAGCATAGCTCCTCTGCATTGATGAATCTGATAATTTGAGGTTTCCACACCTGTGTCCCAATTGGCATACTTATACCATGTAGTAAAATTATGCATAATTTTATGAAGAGTCTGCAAGAACTGGGACACATTAACTCTGTGTAAAGGAAGAGAATGTTGTTGCCAGAAGAGAACACTGTCACAGTGAACAAACTCATCATTGCATTTCAGTCTTTCTTCCATTATTCAATTTATACTATATAAAATTTCCTTTATCATGCTCTTGATATATTTTTCTAAATTTTTACTTACACTTTTCTAAAATGCATAAATGAATTCTGCATCACAAAGTTCCTCCTCTAATATTTGCTGAAAAATTGTCCACAGATCCACACTACGAAAATTGACCAGATTTATTCTGGCTTTGTTACGTACTCGGTCGCTTTCTCTGTTTGACTGCAAGCCCTCCGCAGTTCGTGGCTTCTTGGATTTGACATCGGATTCCCCAAATATCAGCGATGACTGCGGCGTAGAGCTACCATGATTCAAAATTGACCTTTGGGATACTCGTTTCAACATGCTACCATTCGGGACATTAATTCTCATCTCGGATACTATTTAGTATTGATAGTATGTCAGTTGGCATGCAAGGCACCTTTTACCTGAACATGGAATTCTCACCTGGCTCACAACAGAAGCATTTCCAGTCCCCAGTGTTTACAGCCAAATTAGCATGTTTTACTAGCTGATAATGTGCAGAGCTGCCAAGTCTGCTTATGATATGCAATTCTGAGCTTCTTTTAAGTTGCTTGGGGAGAAATATATATATATATACACATACACACACTTTTTTGGGGAAACGTAAGTGACTTTTTTAATACGTTTATGGTCACTATTTTCCCCAATGCATGGACACTGTCTGCTCACAGCCTCACAGTAATATCAGTGCTGTAGTTAATTTTCTCCCCATCCTCCCCCACATTGGGGGAAAGAAAAAAAAAATCATGTAATTACTAGCAATAATAGTTAGTATAGTAGATATAGAAACATATGTACATTTCCTCTTACTCAAGGTACATTTAAAAGATTCATGATGTAAAAGAGGTATTAGACAAGGATCTAGCAGTTCACCTTTGTTGTTTATTATGGTAGTTGAAACGTTGTCTATTTTACTTAATTTGGGCAACATAATTTAGAAGGGAATAATTTTTGTCAGTCAACTTGCTGAAAACACTACTCATATATATATATAAAGTAACAGCAAATACGTCTAGCACTTCAGTATATTGAGATTTTCTCAAAAGCTTCAGGTCTAAAATTAAATGTCAAAATGTGAGCTAATAATCATGCACGACCATCCTAATATAACAGTGTATAAAATCCCACTAAAAAAAAAAGATAAATATAAAAATATTTTGTTGGATATCTGGAGATCCAAGAAAAATTAGGTTTAGAAAAATGTAACTTTTGGAATAATGTAGATTAATTATGAATACTTGACTGCAGAGAGACATAACATTCAGAAGAATTTCATTGGTGAAAGTTGAGAGTCCTTCTAGAATCATTTATCCATGTTTTGGCTAAAAAGATAAAGGCAATTAATAAATTACATTTTGTTTTATATGGAATAGAAAAAAGTCATTATATATGTAAAAGTGATGTGATTAAAGACTATGAAGAAGGTGGACTTAAGACAATTGACATTATGAATGGGATGCTCAAACTCAAATAGTTAGTCATTCATTAACAATGAAACCTCATACTGGTTCTTTATTCCTGCAATCTATTTTAAAAATGTGCTGGTATAAGTTCTCTTACAGTGCGACATTAAACTTTCTAAACTCCCTGTAAAACTCTCCACTTTTCACCAACAAGTACTATTATACTGGAAATTAATTTTCAAACACAGCTTTAGCAAACATAACATGTTAATCTGGAATAATAGATGTACATTAGTGAGCAGAAAAATCTTGTCTGTGAGTGGTGGCACAAAGGCATATAATCATTAACATGTTATGAATAATTTTGGTAACATTTGGGTGGCTGTGTCTCAGGTGGTAGAGTGGGTTGTCCACTAATCATAAGGTTGGCGGTTCGAATCCTGGCCACATGACTCCACATGCCGAAGTGTCCTTGGGCAAGACACTGAACCCCAAGTTGCTCCCAATGTCAAGTTAACACCTTGCATAGCAGCTCTGCTACCACTGGTGTGTGAGAATGGGTAAATGAGACCGTGTAAAGCGCTTCAGAACCGCCAAGATTAAAAACACACTATATAAGTGCAGACCATTTAATAGAATGATTCACAGTAATTTTTGTGGTAAACACAATCTCGTTTGCTCCCCTAAAGTCTATGACAAAATAACATTATATCACAAGTCTCACAATTCAAATGATTAAGTTGGTAAAAGAACAGTTAATATTCTCAGTGGTAAAATACGTGATCTCATGATAGAAAATATAAAATGTAGCTAATTAAGAAATTGGTTAATACAAGTGTATTGTAGGGAGAACATATTTTCCAACAATTGAGAGGAAAACAGTGAGTGAAATTAGAAGTAATTTAATTTAGAAGCTCCTTCGTGATTACTTGTTTTGGAAAAGGATTTCTCAATTTAATTGGAGACACTGAGAATGATGAAAAGTCCCAAAGCAAATTATTTGTATTCGATGCTGGAGGATTTAGGTTTTGCAAAGTAAAATCTCCTACAACCCTGTTATTTGTTATTTATTTATTAATTTATTTTATGGTAATTTGGTTACCCATTTTCTCAATAGATTTTTTTTTTGTTTTTAAACTTTGACACAGTTGTTCCTCTGGGCCAGTAGATGGCAGCAGTGGGCTGTAGTAGTGCTGATAAATCCCTCAAAGAAAAAAAAAAAACCTCAATAGTTTCTGTTTAATTAACTCAGTCGCTCTCTTCAGCTGGTTTTAATAAGAGTTCCTATAGAGAGAACAACGAAAATTGAGGGGTGGAGACACAGAAAGCGGAAGTCACGTGACAGGCGGTTGAAAGTTGTGAATGACCTGCAGGATTTCTTGCATAAAGATTTAAATGCAAAAGAAAAGAGACGTGGGGCTGTTTGTGTGGATGGCACGTTTTCATGTAAAATATTGGTACTTCTCTAACGTGAAAAGGTAGTATCACCATGTTTATAGGAGCTACTTTTCTCTGTTTACGGATATGACGTTTGCACACAGTTTCCCGCGAAATCGACAGGTCTAAAATAGAAATACTTATTATAATAGGCTTACCTTTGTGAATGAGAATAAAACAAAAGACACTGGTTGGACGATGGATTTATGATGTACTTACTAAGTATTTTATTATTGTTTATTTTTAACATAACGTTAGGTTGTATCTTTAATTTTGCCAACATCTATGGCGGTTTTCTGTGAGTAGAGGTGTTTATCTCTCAAACTGTTATCCGATATCCAAATAAGTGCAGTTTTCCACACTGACTAGAGCTAAACAAAACAAAACCACAGGGATCTAAGAGTCCAGACACCTACTGAGCCACTGAAATGTCTGACCTTTCCAGCAGAAAAAAGGCCATCTCTGCGTTAGTCTTCAGTCCCTTCAGATCTCGGAGTTGGCGCCAGCTCTCAAAAGCCATGCCGAGATTTATTCTGGTTTTGGCACGCGCTCGGTCGCTTTCTCTGTTTGACTGCAAGCCCTCCGCAGTTCGTGGCTTCTTGGATTTGACATCGGATTCCCCAAATATCAGCGATGACTGCGGCGTAGAGCTACCACGATTCAAAGCAGCCATTGAAGCTGTCATAAACACAAGCTGTAACCAACCCACGCATACGCAACATTGTAGCCGGCTCTTATACTTTCTGTTTACGGACGTGACGTAATCACGCGAAGACGAATGACGACGAATTGACGTTTCCCGTGAAATCGAGAGGGTAGAAATGGAGGTCGGTGCCGGGTCCAAATGGGCGGGACTTTAGCTCCAAGCGGGAGGGAGTTTAGCTCCAAATGGGAGGAACTTTAGCTCCAAATGGGGGGGACTTTAGCTCCAAATGGGTGGAACTTTAGCTACAAGTGGGAGGGACTTTAGCTCCAAATGGGAGAAACTTTAGCTCCAAATGGGAGGGACTTTAGCTTTAAATAGGAGGGGCTTTAGATCCAAATGGGAAGGGCTTTAGCTCCAAATGGGAGGGGCTTTAGCTCCAACTTCGATGTACAAACCTCCAGAGGACTTGTAGTGTCTTAAACTGTTGAGTTTTTTGTCCCCCCAGAGACTATATGGCAGCTTGACAGAATTAAAGGTTTTTTGGATCTTAAATATTGGCATTGGACATGCATACAATAATGACAAATCTGTAAGAAATTAAATTAAATCTACAAAATAAAGTGATAAAAAGTGTGTTTTTGTCATCATTTGTCACAGGATTTCCGCATACTTGCCATCGCTTCTGGATTTTTGCCTAAATCCCACCCACTTCTGAAATCCCGCCTACTGAGGTCTCTAGGCTGCAGCCATAAAATATTGCAAATTAGGGTATGGGGTAAGGTAAGGAGACAATTTTGAACACTGATTTTTTGTGTACTTGCACAATAATTTATTTTTGTTTGCAACATTGTGTTAAGAGTTTGCTACCTGTTCATGAGAGCTGAAAACATTTAAATAAGTGCTTGTAAGTGCTTAATATTTCATAGAGGTTTAATATAGTCACTGATTGATAATATGATTGCAAGACATTCTGTGGTAAGTGAAATGCTAAACTGAATTAATGCTTTGTAAAGCATACTTGCGTAAGGCTGGTGCCAAGATGTCTGAAACTGGAGAGAACTGCTCTATGAGAATAGAAAGGACTCTTACGGAAATTAACATTTAACATTAAATCTCTTCCACAGAATTAGCATCTTCATCTGAGATAACACATCACACCGAGTAGAGACCGGAAGATCATACCTCACTATTGGTCATCTACATTGCTTCCCCCCACATCATCCTAGGTCTAAATGCATTAGACTATGTGAATAAGAAATTGACTATATATGCTTGGTATCATTCAAATGGTCTCAGTGTGTCTGTAAAATGGTCTCATTCCCTCAGCAGCACTTCAAAAAACCATTAAGATCTAGAAAATGTATAAATATATTACATGCCAAATCACTTCCTGTATGCAAATAAGGTACGTCTTTCCTCAGACATCGAATTCCAACTGACCTCCTGGATAGTTGGCCCAGATTCCAATTATAATCATAAACAACAACATTTGGTGGACCTACAGAGTGTATTTAATTAGAGCTGACCAAAGATTTATGAAATCGTAGACAGATCTCCCACACAATTATTTTGTGTAGTTCCATTGCTGCATAAACTTTTATAATTGTTTTGTTTGTGTTTTATTTGATGTTTTATATTATTGGTCATTGCTTATTATCTTCTGAATTGGATTAAGAATTGTTATTGGAATTACCTGGTTAATGAATTGTTGTTTGAATTTATTCTGATCTACCCTGAAATTATTGGCTCTGGGAGAATACATTAAGTCCGTTACCGCAAATCTGTGACCAGTTTAGTACAGGCTAAAATCCAGGTTTAGGTGGAGCATTGGGGAATGGCAGACTAACAACTTGGCTTTAGTTAGATGTATTTACACTGTAAATGCTAAAAGGAATTTCCATTTAGAACAACATAGTGTTGACCAGTGTAAATAGGGTGAGCCTTAACCTCTGATTATTGTAATATTATTCTAGTTAAGTGGGATCCATGGCATGATTGTTCAAAGCTACTATTATAGAAAAGTAAAAGTGCTCAACTTGAACCTCTGTCTAATGACCAAGACAATGGAATCCGAATGAACGAGCACAATCTAAGTAAAGAGTTAAATACGATTCAAATATCGAGGTAAATTTAATGATAAAGATTGGAATTTTAATATATCTTAGAATCATTCATAATTGGAGTCAGATAAAGTAAAAAGAGGAGCATACTTCAAGTTGACAAATTGTTGTTTCAAAATGTTTATATATCACATAAAGGAAAGACAGCATCCAACAGAGTGGCAGAAGGCTACTCATTGAGTTACTGTTTTTCATTTATGCAATATATAAACATTTTCATACAAATCCTAAAATAAAATCTCTCATCTACATAATAGACTTGTAGACTGATGCCTAAGAAAATAATTTATCATGTTCTGCATATTTGTACTAGTAAAAAAAAAAAAAAAACAGCACAAATGATTGTTTTCCAAACCCTTTTATTCAACACAATTAGGGATGTTTTCCTTTTCAGAACATGTAAGTAGTGTGTAATGATCAAAATATCATTAGCTGCTGTCACCCAGAAGAAAATGGTGTCAGGGTCAATTTAGAAGTTTTTGTAATTTTGGAGTTTTTCATTGCGGGAATGCAGACCAGAGTCAGATGCAAACTGGTGAATTCAGTTAAGACACACCCTTTATTTTGCACAAGGACCTTACTTGGAACAGGAACAGGAAGTGCACTCCTGTTTGTGTGCTGGTGTTTCTGTCATGTTAGGATCAGCATTGGCCTCCAAGTTTCTACTGCACTTTCAGTCATTATCCCATGTGAATGGTATTTATTAGTAGGACATATACAGCTGCTCCAGCTACAGAAACGTCTTCATTTCAGACTCTGATGTAGCATGAGAAGGTGCAGTTGGCTGGCTTCATGTGTCTCGGAGAAAGCACATATTAGCAATCCCTGGTATAATTGTTATATGATAGGAGGGAGAGCTGGCTGGTGGGACAGGGTTAGGGTTAGGAACATCTAGTATCTTTAACTTGAATCATATTTTGGCTAATGATTTATTCATAGGTCTTAATCATTAATGAAACAACTTCTTGTGAAGTAAGGGAAGAAGAGTCTATGATCAGTTTTTTTGTGAAAGAAGGAACATTTCTGAAAGTGTATGGTTTAGTGTAGTTTTTATTATTATTATTATTATTAGAGATGGTTGAAGAAGCAGTGTTTTAAAGACTATATTTGCAATTGTGTTTTCTGAATCTTTTAATGGGAAGATTATGTGTTTGCATTGTAAAAAAAATTATTTTGACAATAAACCAAATTTGCAATGGGGATTAAATAATTTTGTAACTTTTGCAATAATTTAACAATTTGGTAT